TGAAAAAAAAAGAGAAGAGACAGAGAGGAAAAAAAGAGAAGGAGACAGAGAGTGAAAAAAAAAAAAAGAGAACGAGACAGAGAGTGAAAAAAAAAAAAAAAGAGAAGGAGACAGAGAATGAAAAAAAAAAAAAGACAGAGAAAAAAAAAAAAGGACGAGACAGAGAGAAAAAAAAAAAGAGAAGGAGACAGAGAGTGAAAAAAAAGAGAAGGAGACAGAGAGTGAAAAAAAAAAAAAGAGAAGGAGACAGAGAGTGAAAAAAAAAAGAGAACGAGACAGAGAGTGAAAAAAAAAAAGAGAACGAGACAGAGAGTGAAAAAAAAAGAGAAGGAGACAGCGAGTGAAAGAAAAAGAGAACGAGACAGAGAGTGAAAAAAAAAAAAAGAGAACGAGACAGAGAATGAAAAAAAAAGAGAAGGAGACAGAGAGTGAAAAAAAAAAGAGGAGACAGAGAGTGAAAAAAAAAAGAGAAGGAGACAGAGAGTGAAAGAAAAAGAGAAGGAGACAGAGAGTGAAAAAAAAAAAGAGAATGAGAGAGAATGAAAAAAAAAAGAGAAGGTGACAGAGAGTGAAAAAAAAAGAGAAGGAGACAGAGAGTGAAAAAAAAGAGAAGGAGACAGAGAGTGAAAGAAAAAGAGAAGGAGACAGAGAGTGAAAAAAAAAAGAGAACGAGAGAGAATGAAAAAAAAAAGAGAAGGAGACAGAGAGTGAAAAACAAAGAGGAGACAGAGAGTGAAAAAAAAAAGAGGAGACAGAGAGTGAAAAAAAAAAGAGAAGGAGACAGAGAGTGAAAAAAAAAGAGAAGGAGACAGAGAGTGAAAAAAAAAAGAGGAGACAGAGAGTGAAAAAAAAGAGAAGGAGACAGAGAGTGAAAAAAAAGAGAAGGAGACAGAGAGTGAAAAAAAAGAGAAGGAGACAGAGAGTGAAAAAAAAATGAGAGAACGAGAGAGAATGAAAAAAAAAAAAAAAAGAGAAGGAGACAGAGAGTGAAAAAAAAAAAGGAGACAGAGAGGAAAAAAAAAAAAGGAGACAGAGTGAAAAAAAAAGAGAAGGAGACAGAGAGTGAAAAAAAAAGAGAAGGAGACAGAGAGTGAAAAAAAAAGAGAAGGAGACAGAGAGTGAAAAAAAAAGAGAAGGAGACAGAGAATGAAAAAAAAAGAGAAGGAGACAGAGAATGAAAAAAAAAGAGAAGGAGACAGAGAATGAAAAAAAAAGAGAAGGAGACAGAGAATGAAAAAAAAAGAGAAGGAGACAGAGAATGAAAAAAAAAGAGAAGTAGACAGAGAATGAAAAAAAAGAGAAGGAGACAGAAAGTGAAAAAAGAGAGAGATCAAGAAACACAAACAGGTGCTTTTATTTATCAATGAGATTTTGAGACCATATTTGCAGTTGAGTCCTTAACATCAGTTAAAAGCTTTTCTGGCTGTCATTCAACAATGAATAATAGATGAATTTATCAGTGTCTGAGAGATTATCTTTGTATAGAAATACAATTCTACTTTTTAAAAGTACTTTGAGCAAAAGTTCTGCTAACTCCATATCTGGTCATTTCTTTCCTCTATCAAACAAATATTAACAAAAAATTGAGTTTGTAGACATGAATTCATATATATATATATATATATATATATATATGTAAATGAAGTCATTTGCCACAAATTGTGGCAAATGATTTTTTTTTTTATATGAATTCATCTCTATTCTATTTCCAGTTAATTCTGGACCCAAAATAATGACATCTTAACATTTTATTAACTTTCTATCTCAGATAGCTTAATAGTCTTCATGTTAGCTTCTTTACTTAAACATTGGAGCAGTGGTAATTTTTTATAAGTCAGATTTAAAGCTACCTTTAAATATTGGTATGTGCTTCATAGGCAAGCAATGGCAACATCCAGGTTGTGAAATAATGAGAGAACAAAAGTGCTATGTAACAAATTAGCTTGATTCAATTTTCCAAAAGCTGTATAAAAGGAAAAATGCAATGAAATAACAAGCAGAGAAGCATAGATTGTCAAGGAATCACTTTTTACTGGTTCCAAAGGAAGATATAACTTATAAAAGCCCTTGTCCTGCTTTTGCCTGTTTCTTGGTCATGCTAAAACAATGAAAGAATTTATTACCGCAAAGACAAAATGGGGTTTTGTGTGTGTGTGTGTGTGTGTGTGTGTGTGTGTATTGCCACTGGTAATATCACTACTAAAATTGATCTATCAGTTTTGTTACTTTATTGTTTTAAAATTTTTAAAGCACAGTATGAAGAATGTTGGATCTAATCGTGGGGCTTGAATGACAGCAAAACACTTTTCATTCCCCAATTTAAAGGCAGAAACACACAAATGCATGCTGGGATTTCTTCCTAGCTAATAAAATAAGCCAGTTCTCAGTTTCATATGACTCAGTCCCTATCTGTCTTGTACTGAAGTCAGAACACTATGTTCATTTATCCAAATTTTCTCTTGTGTGTCAACCCCAATTCTTAGTTTGTGTATCTTTTCTATATTACTGTTTATTTGCCTTGCATATATTGTTTGCTTGCTTTATATTATTTTTTGTCCTGTTTTTTTTCTTTTTCTTCAAGTTGTTTATTGCAAAGTTTGTCAAATCTGTTTGTTGGGCAGTTCCGCCATTTGTTTATATTTAACCCTGAACACTCTCTCTATATATATAGAAAATATATTTTACATACATGCTTTTTGTTTATAATAAATCAGTTTGTACTACAATATATATTTGTATAATTTTTCCATGCATAAATTTTCTTTTAATCATTTCACCCCAAGCAAGGCAACAAAGCCACTAAGATGCAGATGGTTACTGAGTGTGAAAGAATATAAGAAAAATAAATAATTATTGAGAAGTACTACAACATAATTCAAATCAAAGAATCAAGCACTGAAATAAACTTAAAATGGCACATTATAACCAACCTTATGAAAAAAAAGTAGTCTTTCAATGTAAGTTTCAATCACTCACTCTAGAACCGATTGGATTAGATTGTTGGTTTTAACAGCATATCAACATTTATGAGGTCTTTAAATGTCAAAGATTTATTTTTTTTTAAAGATGAATTATATATAAGTAAATAGGTCTACTTTTAATATGGTATTTAGAGTTATTTAAAAGTTTGGCAAGAGATAGAGTTGGGGTGTAATTATATTTTTGAGTATATTTCTATTTCTTTTAAGAACTGTATTATTTTGTGTGGTTCAATCATGTTGAAAAGCTTCCTCATGTTGTTGGTTTGATATTACTTTCTTTGTCCTGGGCTTATATTAATTCATTTCAGTAGCATATCTTTCATTGTTTATCATTCCTTACATGCCAGACACTTTGGTGGTGCTTCACCTTTCAGGAGATAGCTGTAGGTGATTTGTTGAAGAACCACACACATCGGTACACTATTTTATCTGAGCATCAGATGTATGTACAAAATTATAACTAAACCACAAGAGAAATAAGACTGCATAAATGCACCAAAAAAGAAGATTCAGTTCATGAACAGGAAAAACTGGAGAGTTGCTCTGGGACTGAAGCTGATTGAAAGACATAAATACAGCATTAGAAAGTTAAGAAATTTAATAAACAAAGAGAGGTCTTCTAGGTTGAATGATCATCTGTGTTAACAGCTGTAGACATACAAATATTATTTATGTCAGTGAATAATAATGTCCTTAAGTAACCAGTCCCTATATAATTAGTAAGGTGGAAAAAATAACTGGTCGATGCCAGGTACAATAGATAACATTCAAAGAGAGAATTCTTTTCCTCCTTTCAATCGGTATATTATAGCAATGCAAAGTTGATTTCATCTTAAACTAGATTATCTGTTGCTGATATAAGGACAGATATTTGAAGGAACATTAATTTTGCTCTTATTAAAATAAAATCCTTTTTTCTTTTCTTTTTTTTTAAATACATTTCTTGTTTTCATTAAACATGTATTTTTCCAAAAGTTTCAACAAAGGCAGCAGCCATAATCTTTATTTTCTTTTTTTAAGACAAGAAAATAAATATTTTTTTCTTTTGGAATTAAGCAATTAAAAAAAGACATTGAAATAAAGCTTCTTGGCTTTGTTTCGTATTTATATGTAAAAATTATATTGCTGTATCCATAAAGAAATACATAAATAAAAAATTAATGTGTTGTGTCCATAAAAAAAAATAAAATTTAATTATTGTCAAAAATAATTGTAACAATTATAATTATCATTAATTCACTCTTTCTAAACCAGGAGAATTGACCCAACTTTTTTCCTCTACATACACACAAACACAGGACATTCTCACTATCGGACAAGCAGTCAACACAGACAGGTCATCAACATGTGCATCAATGAAAATTCCAGCTCCTTTTCCTTTTTCAGGCCATAATGGTAACATTTATATCTCAGCACTCAAAAAAAATTAGAGGTAAGAAAACCCCAGACAATTTTTGTATTTTCCAACTAAATTATCTAGATGCTAATTACACACATGCATAAAAAAACATGAGAAGGATTGTATACACTTTACTTATTCACTTACTTATTTTATCATTCTGTCAGACTCCAATCCATATTTGAAGTACATTTGAGTCACAACCTTACTCAGTATTAACATCTCTTGTATCTCCAACACCACATGACAACCAGATAATAAATGATACTTGTTTTGTTGTTTCTAGATCTTGCTGTTTTTAATTTTATGAGTATTTTTGTATATATAAATGTAAGGAAGCTTATAATTATTTACTCAGAGTTATAACTCTCCTACAATATGAATAATTAATTATTATAACCCCCCCCCCAATTTACATTTTGAAAACATTTTTATTCAGAGCAATTTTTTTAATAAAAAATTGGCTTTATTTAAAAATGCAATACACAATTAAAATAATAATCATTTAAGTTATTTTTCAATGTAATTAATTAGATGCTTGTGACCAAAACATTTTGACTATAATAACTAACACTTACCAGATTATATATGAGGAGGTGCTGAAAAATTCTCTGCCTGACCAAGAAGCCTTTTAAAAAAAGAAAAAATAAACAAATAAATTTGATGTTTGGTTAAATTTGGAAAAGTATGTCAGGTAAAGAACTTTTTTTGTACCTGTCCTCATATAGATATAATATATACCAATAAAGATAATTTAGATAAGTGCATGCTTGTTTTTGGTAAATATGAGGGGCAAGGAATATCTTGCAAGTCATTTTTGAAAAAAAACAAACAAAAAAACAAAAAGAAAAGGAAAATTTTTAAACTTATAAAATATTCCTTGTCTTTCATTTTTAACAAAACATAAAAGAAAGAATGCTACACAAATATATAATATATGCAGATAATTGTAGAGAAACTTGGTCATGCATGCTCAGTGACATGTGATGCTAGACAGGTGCCCTTGCATGCACATACCAGTATGAGTTCAAATTTCATTACAAAGTAAATATACTTTTTATTGAGGATAAAATAGTTCTTTTGTAAAGATGACAAAAGCAATAGGCCTATTCAATCGCTAAAATATACTTGGGTTCTAAAAGTACACAGCTAAATATATTAGTTTTTATACAGATAGACTCTTAGAAATAGACATGTACATATACACAAATGAACTAAACATATTAGTCTACAAGTATTTTTAGAGTAATCACTGTAGGTAAAAAACAAAACAAAAAATCCTACAACATAAGAAATAGAACAAAATTATTCATTTGCTGAGCAGACTGAAATAGAGTTGCTGAAAACTATTACAGGACTAGGAGGAGGGGGGTGTATACTGCCTTTGGGTAGCAGGTTACCCATTGGTAATCCCCACCACTACCATTTGGATGTTGAGGTTGTAAGCTATCTCTTAGTAAAACTAGTTGAGAAAAATAAGCAACAACATGAGAAGTGAGGACTTATGTTACATACTTGTATTTAGCTAAACGAGAGAGGAAACAAATTAAACTCACTGAATTTTTAAATTAAGGATTATCTTCTTTTTTTATTTAAGAAAGTTAAACAGAATGTGAGATTCAAAATTGATATTAAATCAATTCAAAAGAGAATTGTTGTGTAAACTCCAGTGAGAGATTGTCTCTTTTGCTCATCAACAAAAAGCACAATAGAAGACGAACCTACAAGATCTGTACAGAACATCATATTTCTCATTCACATCAAAACTGTTAAACAGCATTAAAATTCTGCACATGAATATGCTTGCATTGGGTAACTTTAAATTAGAATAGTTATTTACTAAGTTTGGCTTAAGTAACAAGCATGAGACATTTGGTGAGAATCAAGCTCAGTAATAATTATATCAGCTTGTTGACTATTACTCCACAATGAGGCATCCAATTTGTGAAAGGAATATAATTATGGAAAATTTAAATTGTCTTTTTAGAAATAAATATAATGAGTGAGTGCTGAAAATTTTCAGCTCAACCAAAGATCATTTCCCAAATATTCTGATGCAGGGTCATTTGGTCTGATGTGGGGAAGTAGATTAAGCCAAGAGCTTTTTAGCACCCCAATGTGTGTGTATATATATATATATATATATATATATTTTGTTGTTTTTGTTTTTTCAGATCAGAATAAATGCTTCTACTAGTATCCATAACCACACAAAAAATACATCACAAACACTCAAAACATGAAAAAAAAACAACACAAAAAAAACCCCACTGAAAATGGCTAATGCAGTGGCCAAAAGTGTTTGGGACAATGGATGGCATGCACGGTTTTTGTACTCCCACAAAACGGAAAAATGTAAGTATGTTGGAAAACTAAATAAAAAATTAATAAAATTTTCCTTATTTTTCATACTTAACAAAGGATGTTTAAAAGAAAGGTCGTTGCCTAAATATACATGAATATATATTTGGTGTATTTGGGTAGTAACTCCTCTTTTATAAGAGTTCTGTTAAAGACAACTGACATTCATATAAGTGTTTTCTTTTCTGGACACAAAGTGTGTAAAGACTGTCCAAACGTCATACATTTCCAAGCGCTTTTGATTATTCATTTAGCCATTAGCAAAGAATGATTTTTATTTGTATTTTTATTTTAAACTGAATTTTTTTTTTAGTCTAAATTATAGGAATGTTTTACTTTCCAAACATGGTCAGCACATTGTTGCTGTGTTTATAGTTAATGTTACTGAGTGTTGGCTTTTCCTTCCTTTATTTTTAGTGCTTCCATTATTCTTAATCTTTTTTTACAAGAGAATGAGGCTATTATATTTGTATTTTATACTAGTATGTGATAAATAGATAGAGATCCATTAAATACATACATACATTATAAAAGATTTTATAAGCAGTGGATATTTGTAAAATTTTCCAGATACTTTTGAGCATGAAATTTTTTTGAGAATAATTCACCTGGGACAACCCATTTTATTAAATACTAGCAGTAGAGCCCGGCATTGCCCAGGGATGTAACAGTAAAAGATAGATCAAGTATCAACCATCATAAAGACTGAAAAATAAAATTGACAAAGATTATTGTTTAAGGTTGACGGACACACGTCTTAATTAGTTTTTTTTTTTTTTTTTTTTGTATTTTTGTTTTTTTTACGGATTGGTCAAAACCAAACTCAAACAAAAACATTGTGAAGTTTTGTTGAAATCAGTTGAAAAATGTAGGAAATCCCATCCAATATATAAATGTACAGACACACACAATCTGCATTTTATAAGTAAGATTGAAGAAATTTTCTCTCACAACTTAATTTAAGCTGCAAGCATTTCAAGACAAAGTATTTTGTTACTGAAAATTATTTTAAAAAATTAGCAGAAAATTCCAACCACCTGATCTATTTGAAAGTCTGGTGTACATTTATGGGCAAAATATCTGTTCATAATATGTACCCTTAACAAAAATGTACTCTTAATAAAAATACTGATCACCCTTTTTTGTGATATGGACTTTTATGATGCATATAAATTCAATTCAACAAATATTTATAATTAAATTCAAAAGACATAAGAATTAGAAATATATATTTAACACAATATCCTATATATATAAATTATTACTTTACATATTAATACAAGTTCCTTGATATCCTATAATCTGACTTGTCCATTGATTTTATTTGCTTTTCTACTGTATTAACTTTATCAGTATTTTCAGTTTTTATTGCTTCCCAGAGATGATCTTTTCTTGAATATTTATTTCAGTTCTTATAAACATCTCTTAATAATGAGACACAGGTTTTCTATTGAATTAATATCTGGAGAGGCTTGTGACCATTCTTCTAATATGATGTCTTTGAAACTTTTTTTTTTTTTTTTTTACAAGGTCAGCAATAATCAGTTTTGTAGAATGCAAAAGAACATTTTTTTTACATAAATATACTGTTTAGCATAAATGTTTTCATTATAACTTGCACCATAAAAAAACATCTTGCTCAAGAGCTTAAAAACATTCTCTGCTTTTATCTCTATACTATAAACTATAAAGGAATCTATGATTTTACCACCTAGAATATAACCCAAAACATTACACCTCACAGCTGATTTCTAAATTGTATTGGTTGACTATTCTTATAAAAGTCCAAACATCAGGTTCAATGAATGGAACTCTAGATTCATCATTAAAAATTACTGTTGAAAAATCAGTTTTCATTAAATTCTTTCTCCAATCTAAATATTACTCATTGTGTTTTATCAAAATTGAACCTGTAAAATTGTAAATTATTTTATTATACAAATTCATGTTTTCCCTTTGTTATTGACTAACCAATATAGATGAAGTTATAGTCATTAGATTTAAGAGTGTCATTTATAGAATATTAAAACTTCATAATGAATGATTCAAAGATTCTCCATGGTAAACCGTTTTTTGACATGCATTGTACATTAAGTAATCAGAAAATTTGAAATTAAAGCATCTTAGCAGACAGTGTCATGTCATTTCTATAGAGCAAGGCTACATACATATTCTGTTGTCATCAAACATCAGCAAGAAGTGGCAAAAAGCTAGACTAACCTTTGTTTGGACTGTTGAAAAATGGGCAAGAGTGTTTTTCAGCAATGAATGTAAAATTAATTTGGTTAGTTCTAATGACAAGCAGGATCTCTGATGGTGTAAAGTTTAAAGATTTCTTACCAAATGTGTGAAGAAAAAAAAACAGTTAAATTCAAATGTAGTTAATGTATTGTATGAGAGCTTGATGTTCTCTAGTGCTGGTGTTGTTCCACTCATTCAATTACACAGCAAAATAAATGCTAGAGTGTATTTGAACAATATGTTGTTCCTTCTGATAGCATCTCTCGTCCCTAATGCAAGATAAAGCTCCTTGTCATACTGCAAAAATAGTAAAGTTATACTTCAAAGTTGAAACTATCAAGATTATGCCAAAGCTTGTCCAAATTCCAGATCTCAATCCAATTGAGAAAATTTGGAAGATCACTAACAATGTTAGGACATGAAAACTGATTGGTTTGTGGTAGAAACTGCAAGAATAAAACAAAAATCATGCCTAAACAATGTGACAATTTGAGAAGTCCTATGATCATATATGTGTCAAAGTAATTAAAAGCTATGACTTGTCTATGTCTAAATAATGTGACAATTTACATATATTTACAATTTTGTTTTCTATTACATTTTTGTAAAGAGTTTTGTTTTATAAATTTCATGCAAATATACCAGATCTGTCTATATTTCTGAGGTGAGGTATTATGTACACTATTTACATTATTTGGATTATTGTCCTCATCTTTGTCGCCATATTTATTACGTTTTGGCCATTGTACGCTCCAGCCTTCTTCAGGTGGTTGGAATGTCGAACTGAACCCTTTATTTCACTCACTGGGGTAGACTGTTCTAGTTCCACGTGCCATGTCTAATGGATGTCAATTATCACCTGCTAATTCCCTTCTCAAAAGTTCTCTACCACCTTAACCAGGTATTGAACCAGTAATAAGGAGTGCCAGAGAAAAGTGATAATAACAACAAAAATTGCAATATGAGCTCTGGTAAAAACATATGATAACAGCAAAAATTGCAATATGAGCACTGGTAAAAAATGGT